CATCATGTTCCCCCTGACTCATGGAGAGTTGTGTTTTATGTTTTAATTTGCTAGAACAGCGATTATGCACAAGTGGGAGAATTTCACAAGCAAAATGTCTTGTCAGTGAAAATAGCAGCTTTACTCCTACATTCACTTAGAGGCAGGAGGCAGAAAGTATCCTGGGGCTTTTGAATTATTGTTGAAATGAACTCCAGATGCCTGCAGAAAGACTGCTAACTAGATACCTAATTGCCAGTTTCTTTTGTCTTAGCTACACTGCTAAACAGCCTTCAAACAACAGCATTTGATACATCCTGAATTCTTTATTAGCACCTTCATGCAAGATTAAATGGCACTTGCGCAAAACCAGAGCACAACAGCATGCCAGTGCTTATAAGCAATGTTTCTGGAAGCCTGTCTTGGGTATTCGTCTTCCTATGTGTGGGAAGTTTTCTTATAAATTACAGTCTTCCTTTTACATTACATGCACACCAATTTTATATCTCTCAGTTTTTATGCTAGAAAAATTTGCATTTTTATGTAATATTAATCAGGCACCACATTTTCCTATTTCGAATATTCAGCAAAGGAGAGCAAAACTATGCTTCCTGGCCTGCTGCCACTCCAATGACTCATCTTTGCTGACATGTAAGCTAATGGGGGTGAAGATTTAGAATTGCTGTTTCACAGAGAAAAAGGAATTGGACAGACAAGCTTATATGTCCCATACTTCATCCCTGCTAACCCTGACTCCCAGAGGCAATGCCCACAGTACTGAGAACTATGAAACTGCCTCTGGACTGTCTGTGTTTATAGGTGTATGCAAAGGTAACAATTAGAAGTACATACATCAAGGCTTTGGTCTGGAAATAAGTCTTAAAAAATCAAAGATCACATACACAACGCAGAACCATTTACATATTCAAATAAATAAATGGGTCCTTTTGTTGATTAAGGGAGAGGAGAGGCAGAGGGATCGCCAGTGTAACCGCTCCATCTCTGACACAGGAGCACACAGCACACAGTCAGCTGCTGCATTACTGTACTACACAATCCCTCTGCCTTCACTGACTTCAAACGTCTATGCTGATCTTTTCCATCCCAGCAGCAAACCTCACCCATGGCTGTAGCTTGCTGCCCTCATTAACCCAACATTCAGTACCAAGGAAGCCATCATCAATACAGAAGATACTGTGCAGCACTCTTTCCTTTCCTTTTCCCCCAGATCTACTTGCTTGGATTTTTACCCTGCTTTCAGTACACACTGGGCCACTGTTACTCTGTAAAGCAGGATTCAGACATGATTGAATCTAAAGTGACATGGAAGTGCTGCTGTCACCCTAATGTATACAGGTACAGGTGGGTACATCCAGAACACCAGCACAATGCCACAGCTGTAAAGCAGGGCTCATGATTTGGCACTTGCTAGATAACTTATCCCTGTGACAGTAATCACTTCTGGGACTTTGCCAGTCAGATGGCATGAGATGTGTATTAGGGACACTTGCACAGGTCCATGATGTCTGATTACCACTAGCCATGTCAGTCTTTAATCCATAAATCGCCTAGTCGTAGGCAAGGACTTCCTGCACAGTGTCACACTTGGCTGCAACACTTCACAGAAATGACTTGAGACAGCATGAACCTCCAGTTTCAGAGTTTCAGTTCCATTTATAAATACAGTGTTATTTTAAACATTCCAGGTGGAAAGTGTGGACTTTCCAAAACTTGAATACCATAGTAAAGATGTAAAGGATGGAAATATCTGGACCATGCTGATTTTTGGGTGTCTTAAAAGAAAAAGCACATTGGGCAGCTGGTTCTCTTTTGCTATTTGAAATAATACAGAGTAAGGTTTAAATGCTGGAGTCACAGCTAAACACATAAGGCAACTCACAAAATCACAGAATGGCTGAGGTTGGAAAGGACCTTTGGACGTCATCCTGTCCACTCCCCCTGGGTCATCTGTAATAGGCAGCCCAGGACCATGTCCAAGGCTTTCGAGTATCCAAGGATGGAGACTCAACAACCTTTCTGGGCAGCCTGTGCCCGCGCTCAGTCACCCACACAGTGAAAAAATGTTTCCCAATATTCACACAGAACCTCCCGTGTTTCAGTTCATGCTCACTGCCTCTGATCCCGGCCCTGAGCACCACTGAAAAAAGCCTGTCTCAGCCTTCTTTGCACTCTCCCTTCATGTATCTATTATATACACAGATAATATCTACTCCAAGCTTTCTCTTCTCTCACTGAACAGTCCTACCTGTCCTAGTCTTTCCTCAAGTGAGAGATGTTCCAGTTCCTTAATCAATCTTAGTGACCCCTTTGCTGGACTCCCTACAGTAGCTTTGTACCCCTCTGGTTCTGGGGAGTCCAGAACTGGACATGATACTCCAGGTATGGCCTTGCCAGGGCTGAGTAGAGGGGAAGGTTCACCTTCCTCAGCCACCTGGCAACACCTCTCTTGTTGCAGCTCAGGATACTATTAGCTTTGTTTGGCACAAGGACACATTGGTTGCTCATGTTCAAGCTGGTGTCCACTGGTTATTATAGAATCAGAATAGTTAGGGTTGGAAAGGACCTTAAGATCATCAAGTTCCAAACCCCCTGCCATGGGCAGGGACACCTTACACTAAACCATATCACCCAGGGCCTTGTCCAACCTGACCTTGAACACTGCCAGGGATGGAGCATTCAAAACCTCCCTGAGCAACCAATTCCAGTGCCTCACCACCCTAACAGGAAAGAATTTCCACCTTATATCCAATCTAAACTTCCCCTGTTTAAGTTTTAACCCATTATCCCTTGTCCTATCCCTACAGTCCCTAATGAAGAGTCCCTCCCCAGCATCCCTGTAGGCCCCCTTCAGGTACTGGAAGGCTGCTATGAGGTCTCCACACAGCCTTCTCCAGGCTGAACAGCCTCAGACCCCAGCATATACTGGTGCAGGACTTTACACTTCCCTTTACTGAACGCCATGAAGTTTGTATCAGCCCATTTCTCCAGCCTGTTGAGGTTCCTCCTCTGGATGACAGCACAACCTTCTGGTGTATCAGCTGCTCCTCACAGGCTGTAACATGAGCAAACTTGCTGAGGGTGCACTCTGTTACATCATCCACTTCATTAATGAAGATGTGGAATGGGACTCGACTCAGTATTGACCCCTGGGGTACGCTGCTAGTTACTGGCCCCCACCTAGACTTCATACCACTGATCACCACCCTCTGGGTCTGGCTGCTCAGCCAATTTTCAATCCACCTCACTGTTGCTCATCTAGCCCATATGTTAACCAGTTTCTCTCTCAGGATTCTCTGGGAGGCAGTGTCAAAAGCCTTACTGAAGTTAATGTAGATTATATCCACTGCTCTCTCCTCATTCACCAAGCCAGTAGTTTCATCATAGGAAGCTGGGCAAGTATGACTTCCCCTTTGCCTATCCCTTTGTGAACCCATCCAGTCATCATCTGACTGCCCTTCCCTGAAGCAGAGTCATGTATTGCAGTCTCTAGTGGCAGAACTGTGCCGGTAGAATTGGGTTGTCCCTCCATTTCTCAATATAAAACAGAATGCAACAGGCAGATGAAATCCTATGAGCAGGAGTGCCACCATTTTTCCTATGTGAGATGATGTAAGTAAAAGAATACCATACTTCCTTTACAAAAATTCAGTGAATGGTGAAGTTAGCTTTAAGGAAAGACTGAGGAAAGAGATGCAAAGATGTTTAAAAACTAAATAATGGCTCACAGGAAAAAATAACAAGCGTTTTTAAACACGCAGTTTGTTTGTCTATCCATTTTGTCCTTTTGTCATGGTCTTTTACCAACTTACAGCGCAGAAGGGACCAGGCATTTCCACGTTACCTTTGGAATCGTTAAATGGTAAATGAGACTTCTACATTGTATTGTTTAGCAGAGCTGATGATGCAGCTCCATAAGGGCACCTTGGTCTCATCCTGTTTGCATTAACAAAACCCCAGAGATATCACTATAGAGGATTTGAAAGGAAACTGTGCAGAGAGGTTGATACTGGCATCTGTAAATTCTCTGTGTGCTTAAATAAGGAGCTTGGTGGTAATCTCTCTAAATAAAACTCTGCAAAGGATAGCATTGGCATTCTCGGTGCGTCCCTAAACCTAAACTGTCACTGTCTTCTGATGCTCTCATAGGGATATAGATATTTGGGTTAGTTCTGTTCATATGAAACAAAGGATGCATCCAGAACACGAAAGAGCAAGGCCAATGCCTTCTTCCAGCCCTCCTCATATACAGGGAACAGGTTACAGAGAAACTTGAAAGGATTTTTACAGTGAAGTACACCAGTATATTTCCTAACTCACCAACTGCCTTCTGGATGTTGAAGAGCCTAGCTAAATGATCAAACTTCTATGTCCTGTTTGTGTCTCAGAAGAGAGAGCATGTGCACATGCAAGCAGCTGCCTTTGTCTGGTAAGAGATGAGAAGACAGTAACACCTAACTATCTTATAGATGTATTACAGAGCTTCTTCAGGACCCCTAACTTAAAGGGGGCATTGAAAAGGAGCAGCTTGAAGCAATACAGTCTGCATGGCAGTAAAATCCTTATACTGATTTCAGCGGGCCAGACTCTTTTTATCTGACTATGTTTTTCTTTAAGCTGAACACGTTTATAAAGTGTGCGCTGAAAGCTAATGAGAAGATCCTACCTTCAAGCTTAGCCTCTGATCAGTGCTGTCAGTGACTAATACGTTATTTCTTTTCTAACTTCTTGCCAACACAGGCAATCAACTGCTAACCTGGAGCTATGTGATCTCCAACCCACTTCTACTTTAAAAGCAGCAGAAACCCGTATGTTTCTTGCCTAGCACACAGTAAACACAATGGCACTATAGCAAATAGGCTATTTCAGCACCTGGTTATGCCTGAAACTCTCCTTAGCGCTTTGGGACACAGTAATTTCAGTGAATCATGTTCAATTACAACATAGTTATCTCCAAGCTTGTTTGATGCTTAGCATTTAAGGAAAACTATATGCTTACTCACCACAAGGGATATATACCAAGCCTACTGACAATGAAGACAATGGCAAATGTAAGGAACAGAAGGTCACTCAGTTTTTGACACTTGCAATAGTTTGCCATTTTGGCAGCCTGCAAAAGAAAAAAACGTTTGTTTACTTCTGTGAGGACAACCACGTTCTCCTGTATTGTGCATAAGCTGTAAGAAAAAGATATAAATTTTTTATGAAATCACTAACATTTTCATTGAGCCACCTCATAGGTGACCTTGTAACTCTTCTCCATCAAGCTGCTGGAAAATGTCTTCTTGGGTAAAAAAACCAGGCTGCATAAAACCAGAATACATCTCTCATTTCTTCCTTCCCCTTTAATTTCCTTTTTGAAATCCTACAATTTCAGATTCACAAAACTCTTCTAACCTTTTCTTGAACCCCACTGTGTTTATGCCATCCTTGCCCCCAGCCTCTTTACCTACCCGTGTCTCACCTTTCCAGTATGCTCCACTTGCATTTTCAGCATTCGTTCATCTTCCACCTGCCCTATGCTCTCTGTCATTCTTGTCCTTGCCATATATAAACTTTGTCTCAAATCTCCTACATTCTCCTACAGCATCTCTTCTTCTTTTCCGGCCCACACAGAACAGAGTCCACCTCAAAGATGATACCCCTCCCCTTCAAATATTTTTCCAAGTCTCTCTTCCCCTCTCTTTCCAACTTTTGCTTTCCAACTTGTTCCCTATGCCTATTTTTACATGCCTCTCTCATTTGCCTTCATGCAGTCTTCTGACTCCTCCTCAGCGAAGGAGTCACTAATTACTCTTCACTCAAACTGCTCATTAAAACCCCAGTCTTCCATGAAGTTTCTTTTCCCTCTTCTCCCTGAAGAAAACAGTATGTACAAGCAAAGCTGTTGTAAGACATCTGTGCTGTTTCCACAGCATTCATGTACGTAAGCAGTTACTTATTTTAAAACACCTGCTTCCAGGCAGGGACAGTCTTTATGCTTTCTGTCAGATGTATCTAGAGAATCACTGCACATGAAGTGAAGTACATGAAGAACCCAATTTAGTGTCCACTTAAGTAATTGGGAACTCTTTCAAAGCCCCCCTCCTAGGGGACCTGTATCCATACTGAGAAGATACTTCTGCACAACTTCCAGAGGGCTAGGAGGGAGAAAAATTACCAGAACTATGCAGACAGAACGCTATTCTGAATGCAGAATTCAAACCAGAAGATTACCTAAAATGGCGATAGGCACTATTGCACTCTGATTTTTTTTTGGTATGAACACTGAATCTGAAAGGGCTCAATGCTCATGTTAGCCAACCTGGATGACAAAACTAGCCTGCACTGCTGGATGTTACCTAATTTCTGCAATATTTCCACTGAAAACCTGAATATAAAGGATATTTCTCACTAGCAGAAAACAGGTTAGGAAGTGGGAAGCTCACAAAACATGAGGAAAGCCACCACTAGTGCAAAGAAAACATAACCCTTTAAAATCAGCCCTATATTCCTGTGGACACAAATGAGTTTAAGGGAAAAATAACGCTTTAGTGCCAACATGCAAAGCATAACAGTCACTAACACTTTGATTTTCATGTGACTGAAAGTCCACATATGAATTCTGGATGTATTTCCCTGGCAGCAGTCACAGTAATCTCAGCAGTGTATAGGAGTACATCTTCCCCCATAAGGCACCGGGGCTACAACCCACTGCCCTAGCAGAAGAAAGCCCACTGAGTCATAATGGCCCTCCTAGTAAATGTTTGTCAGGGCTTGTGATTCTCTATTTTACACTTTAGAGTAGCGTTAGTATTTCCAGTCAGAACAGACTGAACAAATAAAGACCACTGAAGTATGTGCCTCATGGAGAAGCGTATTTGCTGAACTTTTGTAAATCATGTGAGAATACCAGCAATTTGTCCTTGTCCTAGCCAGTGACTGAACGGAGGAATTGAGCAAAATATGTATCTCGCTGTGTTCAAGGTCAGGTTTTAGCTAGCCTATTACAGCTGCTCTCCAGTGGTTTTATAGTTCCACAGATACCGGTCTGATCTGGAATGAACTCTTTTGAGTATGTCATTCTGCTGGTAAGAAAAGAATCAAGAAAGTTTGGGTAAACCCACAGCTAGCGCAATGGATCTACACACATTGCTAAAACAGAAAAATAAACCTCTAAAGATGTAATTATTTCCTAGAGGAGAAATCCAGATTCTCTGTTGCTTTCAGAGGCAGTCATGTGCCTTCTAGATTAAAAAAAGATTAAAAAATAAAACCAGATTTACAGCCCTACCAAATCAGAATGTCAGGATTTTGATTCTGCAATAGGTGACTCACACACTGAGGCTATATTCTTGCATAACAGCATCTTTGCAACTACTTCAATAAAAAGTCATTTTAGATTATTTTATTAACTTTGCGTTGATCACAGACAGCCCAATCTCATCATTACCCAGAGCTGTCTAAAAACTGATGCAGGTACAGGATGACACCACATCTAAATTGATGCTATGGAAGTTACAGACCATCCTGACTTAAAATAATTCCAATCATCCCTTCTCCTCCAAAGCCAGATGCTTAATACTGCTATCTGGTTGCAGAGGCATGGGGACCTGGAAAATCCTGGGGACCAGAGGTCAGCTCACTGCCCATACACAAACCGCCACCAAATTGTCCAGCACCCTCTACCCAGCAAAGCACAGCAGCAACAAACTGCAACACCCTAATTCTCTTGGAGATGATGTTATTGCTCCAGACACTATGTCACAGGGGTCAAGAACCAGAAGCTTCTATCCCCCAGTCACCACCTTCCAGATTTTGCAACTTTTGACTTTACCATGTTATATTTCATATTTGTGTAACTCTCCCTGGCATGCAATGCATTATCAGTCTCTGCTCTTACAAGCAACTTATCAAAGGACAAACCAGCCTGAAGTCATAAATATGCACAGCTACAATTGTAATATATTTTAGCAAGGAAATACACTATATAAATCACCATTACCATCTTGATCTCGACTCTTCTTAGGAAATACTCATTCTGCATTACAAATAGATTCTACCTAATAACACGCTAGCTCTCTGAATAGTGAATGCCATGTACAGATGCTGATAACATAATTTTCTCACCTCTAGGACAACATAATTTTCTCACCTCTAGGACAACATCAGCCGCATCATGGAGACATAAGGTCAAAGTTCCCACTCGTGTCAAGTTGGTTACATATGAGAAGGTTATCAGGGTGACTGTTACAATGTGATGTGTAAACATGATGCCAAAATCCTAGAGCAGGGCAGGGGGGAGGGGAGGAAAAAAAGAACAACCAATAAAGCAAACAGTGAGATTCAGTACTTTCACAGAAAAATGTATGGATGCTTTTTAAACCCAGCATTACGGTTATGTTACATAAAGATCTTGTTACATAAGTGCATTAAATACCCAGATATATACTTCATTCACAGTGAATAAAATAATCATTGTATGTTAATAAAATGCAAAGACATTACTGAAACTTAGGCAATATTTACATTTCTCAGTTCACAGTAATTTAACCTAATTAAGTAAACATTTGTGGCTGAAATTACCTTGCAAATGCAAATATATATATACAGATAAAATTACACCATATTTTTTATACACCAAGCAACATACAATATGAAAAATAATGTGGCATTCACAAGAGTTCTAATACCAATAAAGAAATGGGTAACACATTTCCACATCACTAGGAGTTACCAGCAGTCACCTGCCAAGCACAACTGAGAGCTTTCACAGAGCCGAAAATGCCAGCACCATTTTTTTGTTTGTTTTTAACAAAGCTGCTTTGTCTTCACACTGTAACAGGGTCAGAAACGTCTTCAAACGAGCTGGTGTACTTCCTCCTACTCAAATCTAACCTGCTGCTTCCTCCCAAATGATGCGGGTTAGCTGGTCTCTAGATCAGTAACTCTGAGCTATTTGGCCCATTGAAAAATATAGGGAGCGACAAAACTCCTGTAACATCACATTCCCAGATACATGCCAAGAGGCAGGAAAAACAAGGAACAGAATGCCTCCCTGGCCTAGATTCCCAGAACGGTTTCTGAGAGAACACAACCCACAGAGATGAGACTCTCCTCTGCAAGGCACCAACTCAGTCAAAAAGCCGTCTTGCTGGAGTCTGCTGAATTACCTGCACAGCTTTGAGGAAGTGGTATCAAAACTCTGAAGGTAAGATCACAGTCATCATTTGACATGGGATTTCCTCCATACACAGGGTGCAAAGTTACTACCACAGCTCTCAGCAGAACTAGTAGCTCTTATGTAGAGCTGTCCGCAAGGAGAGAGATCCACGCAGCCTGCTCCGCAAGCATTCTGGAAGGTGGAATTTAGCTTCTTAGTAGCTTTCATGGGCCAGTCTTGCTGAGCTAAGTGGCCCTCAGGACAGAAACCAAAACTGAGACCCTGCAGTCTTTAGAGGGGCAGCACCTGGTTTACAGAGGGACTGAAGGTACACGTGTCAGGCAGAAGGGCCTTATGGAAAGTGCTGATGAGCTTCCACTAACAAGAGAGTCAGCTCCAGAAAAGCAGCAGCTGCAGCTGCTGCCTGCTCTGTCTCTCCAGTACTGGGAGGAGTAACTGCCCAGTGTCACCATACCTCTTTTTGGGAATGCAGCAGGCACACAGCAGGCCACATTCATCACATTCAGTGATGCGCAGTGCCATTGCCCCTCAGTACCAGTGCTTGGCTTCACTGTAATGTACACCTGGAGTCTGGAAAAACCTGCATCTTGAGCAGTCTCACTAAACAAATAGGGACAGGACCTGCTTTCAGCCTTTCACTTTACATTTAATGCTATCAGGTGCTAGAACACAAAGCTGAGGGGGAGGAAAAAAGAAAGCTGAATAAAAAAAATAATAAAAAAAAAGAGTAAAAGCAGTGAACCGTATCCTATTTTGGTATATGCTCAACGTTTCTCAGCCAGGTTATTTGATCCCCAGCAGTGTGGAGCACAAATACATTCATCAGTTATATCAAGCCACTGATTTAAATCCATTTTCTTAAAGCAGACTGAGCAAAAACAGAATTAAAGGCTGCTTCCCCTTCTAAGAGTCTTAAGGTAAGGCAAGAGTGTGGCATCTTAGTCATTTCAGTAACTACAAACCCATACATGGGGACTATTTCACTATACCATAAATCAAAACAGCAAAGTACCTACCTTAATCCCTGGGATCATAAATAAGCTGCTAGCATTGCCATATGGCAATACTGCAGACTAGCTCTTTACCTGCTTCAGCTGCAACTGCTCTTCATTTTCCTTCTAATTATGTTAGCACATAGGCAGTCCAAACAGGGGAAGAAGTCAAGTAGAAAATCTCTGTTTTTATAGCTGACACATTAATGTTCTACAAATATGAGATTTCTAGTCCCTCTTGGGAACTCTTCAAGGCACTCTGACAATATGGATTATTCTAAGCAGCCCTAATGCTCTTGGGCAGCAGTCTTCTGCACTTCTGCATGAAGTCTACTTACAGAAATGCTGCCCAGGGAGCTCCTTCTCTAATAATGTTTCTTGAAAGACACAGTTATCTGACTCTGCCAGCTCTGAAAGAGAGATGCTGCAATGACCTACTGAAAACTGCTAGATAAAAGTAGCAGTGATATGAATAAGACTACTTTTGTAATTCTGGTCCTTTATTTCCTGTTTCCTCTTTAAATCAGTAACTAATATTATGCTGTGAAGATGTGACCTGTTAGATTTTAATTATACGTAAGGGTGATGAATACATGGAAACTAATGGTACAAGTCCCCATAATGTCAAGTGGTACTTGTGTTCCCGGATTATTCAAGCACTTTCACCCATACATGGCGGAAGAGCAGCTGTAGAGGAATGGGCTTTTTCTTTTTTAAAATTTATTTTAAACTGTATGTTTGCGCAAGTTACATTTATTTACAGCAGATTTATAGCCTCCAGTTGTAACTGCTGAAGGATGTCATGTGCCTGTGTCATGAAAATACATGGCTAAGCATAGGAGAAAGAACCTACTCTTGACACCATCAGTGGGAAGAACACAGATCAGACAACAGAGAAGCCCCGTGGGTCTCAACTTGTAGACAAACCTTCTGGGATCAAGGCTTATGCTGCCCACATTTGTTTAACATGTCACATTCACTGACCAACTGCCAAGTGGCTATGGAGCATTAGTGTCACTGAAGAGCAAAACATCTTCATTAGTCACCCCAGCTTCTGGAAACAGGCTATGTTTGAGATCAGCAAAGAAAAGGAACATCATCAGCTAAAGGTCGCAACCATTACAGTTCTAGTGAAGGTCTGCAAAATGTACACAATCTAAATTCCTTTCCTCTGAAACAGAAGAAATCAGCTCTATGAAACTTTCTTTTCTACCAAGTTTGAAGAAAGATCTAGGATCCAAATTCAATGGAATATAGCATACATTTTCTAGAATCAAAATGGAATATTCAAGAAAATTAGCAGCTATAGATTATTTCATTTTAGAAATGAATGAACTGTCATTTAAAAAAAAAGGTAAAACACAGAAGCTGTAGGAATTGCCAAATGCTTGGAACTGAAAGGTGTGAACTGATAGAAAGGTCTCCCAGATCTTCTACAAACCTGTTAAAACACTGTATAGAAATTTTATATAGACTCATAAATATACCCACCAAATATTTTTCTATCAAACAATACTTCAAGTATCCAGAAAGCATGTAAATAAGCCTCACAGCTTCTAAAAGTCATCAGGATCTTGTGAGAGTAACAAAGTTCCCTGATCTACTTTTTTATTCTGTATTTTACAGGAGTATGGGAAGCTGGACAGAGATGATAAAAAACCAAATTGTATTAGGTTGCGGTCTTTGAAAATGAAAACCCTTATGTGTAGAGCATCATTACAGCAACATAGTATTTATGAAGTAAACAACATGCCATTATAAAACCATAAAAGTTAATCTACTCAATTCACTGCCTTAACGCCAATAGTAGGTATGGGCAACAGCCTAAACTGTTTGCTCACACCTCTTCAGCCAGGCAGAGATAATCTGGTAGAATTTATAATACCTAAATAAAGAGGTATTTTATAGTCAGCAAAACAATTGGAAGTAATTTTAAAGTCATGAATTTGCTATTAGAGAGGAATAAAAGATGGAAAACAGCAAGCACATTTATTTTGAGCTACATCGAGTAAAGGACCAGCGCTGAATGCTAGTGCTTTCAGAGAGGACCTACAGCACCTCACCCTGAGAGAAACCTGCCTACATAAAAGTGGTTGGCTGAATTCCTGCAGTGCATGAGGCTGCCAGGGCACTTTTGATCATCCTAGACTACAACACTGCTACTGATGAATTTAAAGTATCTAAAATGATAATCAAGATTTACATAAAAGTATTCCTCTAGCTATAACGTTAAAACATCAACAGGTTTCTCAGGCTGAGAACTGTTAATCTGCTTTATATAAGCTGTCATGAAGTATTACAATAGTACCTGATATTAGCTGGCAAATTTCCTGCTGCTTCAGTTAAACACAGCCTTATTTGACAGGGGCGCTGTTTCACAGACTGCACATTGGGCACATTAAGAGGTTTCCACATTTTTTAAAAGAAAACCTATTCTTTAAAAGAGAACTTACGGTGTTGCAAGAGCTGGTGTCTGTCAAGCTTGTACTACTTTTTATCCACTACTGTAAGCTCCCAGTGGTAACATTTTTCAACTCATGGGTTTCCTTGACAGCTTGCACTTGCCCCTGGCCACAGAACAGTTTTACTATGTGACATCAGCACATGGCTGCATTTCTCCAGCCTGATCCTCCTAGTTAGCAGTTTTGCTTACGCTACAGAAAGAGCTGCCTCCACAGTCCAAACTGGTCAGTGATCTAATAGGTTATTTATAAATATGGCATCTTCACTGTCTCCTGCAGGGTACTTATAATGAAAGGCTCTTGACTTGCTATCATTGCACTGCAGATATTGTGCTCCTGCTCTCTGCTGGAGTTGGATGTTCTTAGACACAGCAGATGCATGGGTGTCATGGTGTTTGTCCCATTTGTCTCTCTTTCACCTGGTGCCCTGGGTTCAAGCACTGCAAATCTGCAGCAGGGATGTTACTTAGCTGCTTGTGATCCACTTTCCCCACCTCCATCTCCCATTCTATTTCCACAGTAGGCTGCTGTAAAGTCTTCCTGGTAACAAGTACAAGCTGTTTATATATTACTGAGAAACAGGCTTGCAAAAGGTAGTTTACTTGAACCTGTACTACAGACAGGATCAGGATTTAGTTCTGTGCACCTCTCACCAGTGGGCACAAACTCCCCAGCTCATGAGCAAAAAAGCTACAGCATTTGCTCATGAGATGTGTTACATGAGAAGGGTACTACCAACCCTCCCAATGGCCCTTTTCAGAAGTGTACTTCAGCGCTGAACCTAGATGCTATTCAGGTAAGCCTCCAATTACTGTCCAACGTGAGCAAAACTGCTAGTCAGAACAAAAATTAAATATTCTTTAAAGATGTATTGTGCTCCAAAATTGCAGTACGGTGGCAATGATGTTACACTTTCCTCTCCCACAAGAGGTACACAAAGAAAATTAAATATAATCAATAGCACAGTGCAGAGGGCTGAACATGAATGTAGGGGGACTGATTAGACACGGTACATTTCTGCACCAATAACCTGAACAATTCTGTAACATCGCTCCAGAGGTTTGGTTTTGGTTGATAAACCCACAAATGGCCATTCAGTATTTCTTGCACCCGCAGCTGATATATTAGTCAATGTTACTCTTGATTTAAATTCATCTCCTGACCACAGCAGAGGGGTTGGAACTAGATGAACTTAAGGTCCTTTCCAACCCTAACTGTTCTATGCTTCTATGATTATACAGCTCTGTTGAGCAGTGGCTTTCTGCCGCGCTGTTTTATTAAACATTGAAGTTGTACTCATGTCAAACTCATGATGAACAAAATATTTAGCATCTACAGTTGATGTAAGCAAAGGGTATACATGCACATGTCCCTCTACTCTGCTCTTGTGAGACCTCACTTGGAGTGTTGTGTGCAGTTCTGGTGTCCTCAACATAAAAAGGACATAGAACTGTTGGAACAAGTCCAGGGGAGGGCCACAAGGATGATCAGGGGACTGGAGCACCTCTCATATGAAGGCAGGCTGAGAAAGTTGGGGCTGTTCAGCATGCAGAAGAGAAGGCTGCGTGGTGACCTCATAGCAGCCTTCCAGTATCTGAAGGGGGCCTATGGGGATGCTGGGGAGGGACTCTTCATTAGGGACTGCAGTGACAGGACAAGGGGTAGTGGGTTCAAACTTAAACAGGGGAAGTTTAGATTGGATATAAGGAGGAAGTTCTTTCCTGTTAGGGTGGTGAGGCACTGGAATGGGTTGCCCAGGGAGGTTGTGAATGCTCCATCCCTGGCAGTATTTAAGGCCAGGTTGGACGAAGCCTTAGGTGAGATGGTTTAGCGTGAGGTGTCCCTGCCCATGGCAGGGGGTTTGGAACTTGATGATCTTAAGGTCCTTTCCAACTCTAACTATTCTAGGATTCTATGATTTATCCTAAATTGGTTGTTTTGCTTACATTTTACCTTTCAATATGGATTTAAATTTTGTGGATTTTTTTTCAGACGTAGAAATCTTGAGAATATTTGGAAATTCAAATAGAAGGGTGCTTTTCTGTATATGTAGCTCTGTGTGGAAGACAACTTCCTTTTGCAAGTAACAGAGGAGCCGACAAGGAGAGGTGCCATGCTTGACTTCATGCTCACCAACAGGGAAAAGCTCATTGGAAATGTGACGCTCCAGGGCAGCCTTGGATGCAGTGGTCACGAGATGGTTGTATTTGAGATCCTCAGGACAGTGAGAAGAGCGTGCAGCAAGCTCACTGCCCTGGACTTCAAGAGAGCAGACTCTGGCCTCTTCAGGAACCTGCTTAGTAAGGTTCCATGCGATATAGCCCTAGAGGGCAGGGGGGCCCAAGACTGTTGGATGATATTCAAGGATCACCTGCTACTAGCTCAGGAGTGTTGCATCCCAACTAAAAGGAAGTGCAGCAGGAGGGCCAGGAGACCTCCTTGGATGGCTAAGGAGCTGCTGAGGAAAATTCAAAGGAAAAAAAAAGGCTTATAAAAGGTGGAAGCAAGGACAAGTGGCCTGGGAAGAATACAGGGATGCTGTCCGGGAAGCTAGGGACCAGGTTAGGAGAGCTAAGGCCCAGTTAGACATGGTTTAGTGGGAGGTGTCCCTGCCCATGGCTGGGGGGTTGGAACTAGACGATCTTAAGGTCCTTTCCAACCCTAACTATTCAATGATTCTGTTCTATGATACAAGATTCCCAGGAGCACATTGTGGTTCCAAATAGCAGATAAGCTTAATCAGGACATCCTGGACACTTCATTTACTCTTTTCAGACTTACACTTCTGCTAAAATTCTAGTAAACAGGGATTTTTCCATTAGTATAGCCTACAATCTATTTTATGATTCTATGTTTCTAATTGACAGGTGAAGGAGGCACATAAAATATTATAAAATCCTTCCAAATATTTTAAAAAAATTATCTTCCAAATTTTAAAAAGCCTGCAAGAATAGGTCAATGGGCTGTTGTTACAGAATGACTGTTGTGCTGTCTATTCTGCTATGGACTAGCACCTTCCTTGGAGGAGAAAACTTGGATGAAGGAATATAACTGGGTGAAACTGACACTGGAAAACTCATTTTTAACAGGCCAGAACTTTATTTTCTTCACTAATAGCTCCTTAATAGCAAGGATCAGCTACCTGAAATTTCATAACAGTAAAGGCCATATTAAATGTAACATCATTTTTTATATTAAATTTATCCCTGTTTATACCATCCTTTTGCAGAATCAATTAAAAACCTTCACAGATCTTCCCAAAGTGGTACTGTGAATTTATGAGGCAGTCTTGCTCTGTCATTGATATTTCATCCTTTAACTCTTAGAAGAAACAGTATACCTACTAATATGTGTTCAATTCTATTCAGATCACTGTATAAGAGCAAAAGGGGCTTTCAGCTGCTATTTCCCCTTGAATATTTGATTACTCCAGGTTGTTCTTCTTCCCATGCATACAAAAACTCCACATCATAGTAAAAAGAAATAGAGTAGACAAGCACTTCGACACCAGTTTCTCAGCAATGACTATATGCAAGAGGTGGTGACTAGAAAGAACTGTATTTCCAGCTCATTGCACAGGTAATACAGGTATTCCTCAAGTAAAGAAAGAGACGCGTTTAAAGCTTTCAATGATTTTAGCCTCATTGTTCTTACCTTTCTTTTGATGTCAATGAATTGAGAAAACATTAAGGACCAGTAGAATGACAATTCAACTATGTAGTAATAATGAAGGTCAGGCATCAGTGGCTGAAAGATGGAGATGAGAAAAGGTTAATAGAATCTAACTGACATTACAGGCAGCTAAGGTCGATGTGGGACATGTTTAAACACAGGGAGATTACTGAATTATACGTAAGCATCCTATGCAAGAAAAATTATGATGGTTGCCTCTTTCAAACTTGGATGCTCTGGAAAAATAAAGCTCCCCAACCTACCCTCCTTTTATATTTTAATCTTGACAGTATTATAATACTCTAATACCAAAAATTACGATGTTGTCCATTAGGAACTTAGAACAAACTAAATTCTGAGTGCTCCTAAGTCTGTTCTGAAAGATCACTTGAAACATCTTGCTGTACATCAGTAATGTGGGTTTAAAGCTCAGAAAAAGAAATAATGCTAGAGCAGATTAAAGTAATGCTACGAGCATATAATCGCATCTGCTTATGATGAAAATGTCAAGCTTTAAACAGGGCTCTAATACAAAATCCTGCTTTTAAACAATGTAACCTTTTTGTGTGAACATGTTAAGATTTGGAAAGATGAAAATAAAATAAAATTATCCAGGCATCCTGTTTGATACACAACACGGCTACATGGATGTTTAAAAGTAAAATAAAAATAACAAGACACAGGAACTTGTGCATAACCAAAACCAACCTGAGGTAACTTTGAAGAAGGTAGCTGGTGGCACATGTAAACTGTTTAGCCCCTAGCCTAAGAGAGACAATCCTAGGACCTTCTCTAATTTCTGTGTGATTGTGTCTCTCTGCCAGTCATGCCTTCCATCACAGCGTGAGAGGGGCAGTGGCACAAGAGAAGCTCCTGAGGACACCTCCGAAGGGATTAAATGAACCATCTCCACAACAGTTTGCACTGGCACAATCATGCACCTAATCAGGGTACGAGCTGTTTCCACTGGCAAGAAGCAGTTCAGTTGCCTCTCTTGTTCCCATTCTCCTTTGCAGACCAGTTCTTTTCAGCTGAAAAACAGCCTTTAGGTTCCTACTGAATGCTTTATGTGGGTTATTTAAATAGAGGCATATGCTTACACTTTATAAAAAATGCGTACACTCAGAATCAATCTTTTAAAGCCATTTCTTGAGCCAATATAATATTTTTTTCTGATTTAGTGAGGCTGACAATAAGGTTTTAACTACGTGTAGTTAAAAAGGGAGGAGAGCTAGCAATGAACAACTATTATAGCAAGAGAACTCACTGGGGAACATTTCTAGTAAAACTATGAAGATTGTCAGCTTCTTTATTAACAATATCATTAGTATTTCTAAACCCATACATAATGATAATATAGGGGGATTCTAAAGATATAATGGTTTTCCTCCATGAAAAGGTGAAGGGTGAAAGGATTAGGTTTCACCCTGTATGCAGTACAACAACTATAAGAACTATACTGGTTTTTCCCAACCCACTGAACCCAAGGCTTTACTCGGGTATTCTCAGAACCTTTTTTAAAAAATGACCATTCTACCACTGTTACAGATTTCTGCTTTCATGGTTAGATTTCTCAGACCTGTTTTCAGATCCCATGTTTTATTTCAAAACAGGTGTGACAGCTAGATTCACCTTTCCTGTCTTGAACTCAAGCAAGATGAAGAGTGTCTAGCAATATTCTGAAATTACAAGTAACACATTGACACTAACATATTGACACAAAGCCCCCTCATCATAAAAGCAGAGCTCTGCAGAGATGTCATATTTGGTTTTAGGTAGCACTGTAACTTTTACCTGATATGGATACCCATTCCAGCACTGTCTGGTATTCCAGAGCCAGGGTGTCTGAGAGAGAAAGAGAAGAAAGAAAAAAAAAAAAAAGGGTCAGTGCACACCATTTTGGGCAATGTAAGTGTATACAGTTAACACAAGTGAAGGACGAAACTACAGAAACAGCTTAAAATCTGCAATTTTTGATAGAAGCTATGAAAACTGAATACAACAAGGAGATTGCTCAAAGTTTCACAGCACGAAATAGAGCAACCTCCCTGTTCACAGAGATTTTTAGTTGGTGGCCCATGACCTTAGTTTTGCAGGAGTACAGGCTGAATATAATCAGCTTGTGCTCAGGTGGTCAGATCTCACATTTCCTTCCTAATAGCACAGGAAATTTTTGCCTTAGGCTGCTCAGACATCCTAAAGAATGTTCCTTGCATGTGTTGTTACATATAAGCATCCTACCATATAGGATCCATCCTTCATCCCAGCCACATCAGTTTAAAATAGCAAATCATGCCTTTTGCTTTCCTGACTGAAGACATGACCATCCAGAGATGATAGATCTTGCTATCACACAGAAAAGACTCTGATATCTTAGGGCAACATGGGAAGTTCCAGAGAGAAATCTACTTTAGTGCATCTACAGATTCTTGCACTGCAGAAAGCTGGGCAAACTAAAAGACTTGGGAACATGCAGCTTTGTTACGCTTCCTGTTTCTTTGCTGCTTGCACAAGATTTATTTGATTATTTACCTTTCAATGCTGCAAAATAACTTTTTAAATCTTTCTTTGTAAGCAGACTGTTTCTTTCAGAGTTTTTTACCTCTTCCTCTGTGCAACTAAAAGAACTCAAGACAGAAATTACCATATGGGCAAGCTCTTCTGCCCAACATACCCAACCATTAAGTATTTCCATATTGGGTAATAAGAACATGACCAAACCACCAGCTACCAAGGAGCCACATTTCTCTTTTTGTGCATGAGTAGGAACAACTCCTTTCAGATATGCACGTCTTGCAATGCACAGATGCATCTCGGGTTCTGACAGCATCTGTACTCTTTGAGAAGCATCTGTCTACAATACAAGTACCCACCCACAGGTTATCTTGTTAGAAATATGAAAGAAAATTGTGGATTCAAGATCTTTGTGCAACTCTTTTACATAACATTAACTGCTCTACATCCAGTATAAAGATGGCAGAAAATCATTAGCATGTCTCCTGGATAAAGGCACACATACCCTTACAGCATTATATACTTCCATTAGATTACATTTTTTTCAGATACATCCTCGTCGCATGAGATACAGCCTTTTCTTGTTTCCACCATCAGGTGGAGCAGTTCAGCTCAGGCAAAACAATGACAAACTCGTGCAAAATACAACGGGTGAGCAAACCAAATAAAATAAATGCTAGGCAAAACGTTAAGCCCCAGGCTGAGAATCAGGCTAGGTAGGGAGAATTTGTACCATATCAAAAGCGAGGATAAATGCTACTCAAAACTATAGGCCAATTCCCAACTGATACTTTAAAACGAATTGTGATGTATCTTACAGAAGCTTGTTACAGCCTTTGTTAACAGTGATGCGATATGATCACTAAAGGCTCTTCCTATTTCTTTTTTTCAATTTTCCTTCACATGGAAAATATGATAAAATAGAACTTGCACACCCAATGCTCCTGAAATGGCAAGAAATAATTTTTAGAGTAACCTGAGTAACATACCAGCATTAAAGTGACAGACCTCCTACGCCTCTCACAGGGATGTTGTAACAATGGTTAAAGTCCATCCAAGCTTCTCTTCCTTTCTATTAGGAATAATTATTTCATGCAGACAATTTTTTTTTCAAGTATCTCCATAGTAGTTACCATGCTAAGTGAGTTCCTCTCATTTCATGCAACAAAAAGGGTCTTTGGAAAGAGCGACAGCTCCTCTGCAACTGTTACTAATATACAGAAGCTAAAATATTTCTGTCTGACAGCTGCCTACATTAGATCTATCCAAATATTATAGGATAATTCATAGTTTTAGCCAGGTTTGAAAAGCTGTAACTGTCTTTCATATCAGATTCAAAAAGAGGTAAGAGTTGCTTCCTACCCAATTATTTTGCTACCTAAATTACAGGTGCTAGCAAAAAATGCATATTTTTCTCTTTCAAATATTATGACATCTTAAGGCTTCTTCAGAGAGTTGCCTGCTGCAGGATCTGCAGATACAGAGGTTTATGTGTAATTAAAATGCTGAATGCTAAATAAAATAGGCCTCACTGGAGGAACCCATAACCACAAAGCCTGGAAGGATACCACAAACTGATAAACAATACAATACATGCAATTAGGCCTCAAACAGAGAGAACATCTGCCTCTTCTGAGCCGCATAAGGCTTGGAAAGCCATGCTGCCTTCTCACACAAAATGCTTCTGGGTAGCTATTTGGAAATTTAATGGATCCTATGTGGGCAGCAGTGGTTAAGACAGCAGGACATCTATACCACCTTCTTACACCTCTCTCCTCCCCAGTTTCCCCCTCCTTGACTTGACTTAGCATCTCTTGAGTTGACTCTAACAGCTGTAGCAGAAGGGGCTTTAGTTATGCTTGCCCTGCAGGGTTTTAAGAAAGAGGCAGAGAAAGAGCTTGGTTTAAATACAGCTTTCCCCTCTGACCTCTACAATGAACACAAGTCCTAGACTGAAACTAAGTTCTCCAGGTAGACCACGGCTGTAGTTGGACCAAGAAGCATTGCTTAGTCATCTGTGAACCTCCCAACTGTGGGATATTCTGTGCAGGTTTCAGCAGGAAGGAGAGAATCCTAAAAAAGCCCACAGTCTGCAAAGTGAAACTGAAACACACTAAGAAAGGAGGATTAATCAGAAAGCACGTAATACTGACATTCTCAGGGCTCAGCTGAGCCTGCGGATGCTCACAGGACACACTGACGAACTTCCTCACACCAGGCAACCTCACTGTGAAGCAGAGCCCAGCCCTTCCTGACAAGTCCCACGATGGACAGAAATAAAAGGTCAGTGACTTGGCTTTGCAACAGATCCATTTTTGATGAACATAAAGTGTGCTGTTTCCACTGACTGTTGAATACCCAAATTTCCACTTCGCGTTCTTGGTACATACTCTCTTGAGGAAGGGAGGAACCTGAGGGGACTGGAGAAGAGAGGAAATGCAAAAGTCCTGATAACAAAAGGCATCCTTAAGCTGGAAACAGAATACTAAAAACTTCAGTTCCAATTACGTCAGGCACAAAACACCAGCCCTACAATGCTAACAGCCTCCCTTACAGAACATAAAGTAGTTAAGAAGGAAACTTAAGCTTTACCACACTTTGGTGCGGTGCCTAACAAGTGAAGTGTCAATGACAGAGAAGGATGATAAACAGCTGTTGAATCTGTTTATTAAGGAACAAATCCTATCATTTTTGGTTCCTTACAGGAATATCTGTCAAAAGTTCCATCAAACCTCTCTCCAACTCTGTGATTAAAGGAAGTAATTTTAAAGAACTCCTTCAGAAATAAAACTTCTCTTGAGACAAGGGAATGACTGAGGATTTGGAAAAAACAAAAAAGCAAATTATCTGAGATGTCTGAACACTTAACCAGAAGCCTCAGGTTGTTTTGCATCCGCTGTCCCATTCATTTATCTTTAGAGAAAGCTTCTGATTGGGCTCTGGCTTTCAGAAGCCCCAAAGCAATGAAAATCTGCCTGTCTTACTCAAAGTGCTCCTAATACCAAGCATGTGAAAGGTCAGTTTTGATACTAAATGGGTGTGTGTGGGTGGTAAAAAAAAGTAGTACAATAAAAATCTCCCACTTCTGATCAGTTCCCTTGCAGCAAATTTGGCTGAAACGTGTTTTTATGTGTCCTTTATCCATGAGGAAACAGATGCACCTGATGAAGTATTATAATTTTAAAATAAGAAATTTTGGTTCATCATACAGTAATAAAAATAACAATGAATACTCCTCTTCATCCTTATCTACCCAGCAGAACCTACTAAGTATAAGAAACACACAAAGGCCACAAGATAGGTTCTCAAAGAGACGGACAAGAGCTGTACATGTCATGAGCAAGTACTTTGCCATACTGTCATCAAGCCAACCATCAGATGTGTGTATCAGGCATATCATGGATTTAAAGTGAATTCCACACCCATTTCGTAGAATCAGCTTATGTCTGTAAATATAAATATATTACATATAGGTCACATAAATTTGCAAAGTAACTGCTTTTGGGCAGCTGGAGTTAGTTCCACAGTTTGTGTCACTTCAAGCTGTTGTATCAGCAACTGAATCATTTTGCCTTGCATCCAGCACAACTAGAAATCCCAACATGCAAGTTACAACCACAAGCACTGGTGTTGCTTTGCCCTTAGAAGTGTGAGCCTACAGATAAATAAGAAGCGTGAAAAAAACCTAATAAATACAGTGTTGCTGGCACTAATGTTTTCTTTCTGTAGTCCATAAACTTGAAACAAGTAGCAAACTGAAGAACCACTTCCAGAAATAACAACAATAAACAAAACCCAGGTCTCCACAGAGCAGCTTCTGCCCTAGCAGTCTGGAGTATTAGAGAGAGCTGTTATGCATCTGATTTACTCCTGACCACATAGGCATGTTGTAACTCCCAAAGGGGTTCTTCCTAAATTCTCACATAAGTAACAAAAATCTTCTGACTTATCCAGCAGATGAAGAAATACAATCTGCCTGTTTTTATCAGAATACAGCATGCAAAAATCCAGGGACATCACGACAGAACCCCCACATTGCACAAAAGCACAAAAGCATATTTATGCTTAAGTCCACATTTCAAACCAAAATGAGACAGCATCAGTTCAAGAATAGATTTTAAGTTGCTTTTGAAAACAGATTTTTGACCCTGTCAAACAAAATCAGCACAATACAGAAATCCTGAGTGTTCCCTGTGTACATGCTCACTACTCTGCAATCTCAAAAGGCAGATATTATCTCGCTTGGTTAATACATTTGGATACAGCTTTACATAATTTGTCTCTCATAGCTACAAGCAATAATAAGTGGAACTGAAATTACCACTATTAAT